CTCCTTATCGATGTCGGCTTATTTTGAGAGATGGCTGTTCCAAGGTATGCAGCGTTCAACATTCTCCAGCTTCTACCCATCAATAAGGATCTTTGCTGGAGTTGTTGACTAGACCAGAGCAGGCTGGTGAAGCACCTTCTTCCCCACAATGTTAAGGATCAGTTTCAGGCACTGGTATGTTTGAGAGAATCGGTTAAGGGTCATTTGCAGGGCTTCTTCCATATGTGCAACAACAACACAATCATCAGCATACTGAAGAAGATTTGAGAAATCAAAAACAAAGGGAGTGCTGGGACTGCACAGAAAGGGAAAACAACCAGCTCCACTCCAGGTCCCGGTCCATGGGCAGCAGGACAACCTCCCCCAGTGCACTCAGGCTTAGCTTGCAGGCACAGCCTGGACTCTCTTCCAAGGTAGGGCCTCCTCTCACCCCCCACCCCCACACCTACAAAAGAGCTGGCTGCTCCTCTGCTGGCTGTTTTCAGAAAGCCCATAAATCCTGTCCAAGCTCTCGGTGGGCAGTGTGGGAGAGTTCGGACCAGGTTTACCAGAGCGTTACTCACCCCTGGGGCCCTGATTGTCCCGTGCACACAAGAGCTGCCTTCACAGCTTGTTTAGAAGGGGCACTGACCCATTAAGGCCAGGGAAGTTCCTTTTCCAACTACCCAGGAGGCCCACAATGAAAGCATCTCATCACCAGCCAAAACCCCAGGTTTGTGCAGTGTTAGCACTACAACCAGGTGACTAGACCCAAGAGCTGAGGGGACAGTTGTGAGAGGATTTGGGGAAAGGATTGCTCAGGGTAGCATAGAGAAGGCCCCTACCAAGGGACTCTCCTTATTCCAGAATGTCCAACTCCTTGCAATTCCCAGGCATTACACACTCCTCCATCACCTCCCCCTTGCACAGGGCTCTTCCACGGGCACCCCTGATGTGCATGAGTGACTTATGACCACAGCAAAGGGTGCCTCCATCCTCCCACCGACCCAACACAGGGCCAAGGGGTCAGGAAAGGGAGTCAGGAATCAGCAAGGAACTCATCTCCACCACACCCAACAAGACCTTGCCTAGGAGTCCTTTGTAAGCCAATAGATCAGAATGGAAGGTATCATCAACTCTGGAACCCCTGGGGTCTCAACTCCCTATGCTGTTGCAGCGATGTGCTCTTTGATGACAAGGGCTTGGGCTGGCCAACAGAGAGCCACATGCAGGGCAGCAGAGTCCTGAGCAACTTGGCTCAGACCTGTCATGGAACTGGGTTGAGTCCTGAGAAATTTTCCACCCAAGGAGATTTCAGAAGGCAAACCCTGCCCCATACTGCTCCCTCCCACTGCTGCCAGGGAAGATGACAGAGCCATGCTGTGATAAGACACAGAGCAAGTTACATAGGCCAGGCCACTGGAGCAGCCCCCCGCTGCCCTGCATGCACAGAAGACACAGCACACACCTTTGCTGGTACAGAAGCAGCCCCTCTAGACAGGCAACTCCCTAATGGCCTGAGTGCCTCTATGACAGCAACATGCAGAGCCAGGAGATAGTTGGTCTGCACAGTAGCACTCCAAGTGAAAACTATCAGCCTCATTCCAGCACAGGCATCTTTGCCCTCCAGTGCACCCCTTAACCCCCCAAGATGCTGCCATGTCTTTTCCTGATATTCACAGACCCCTCACCACTCTGGAGCATACACCCACACCTCCTGCATAGCCCTGCATGGAAAGGAGAGCAGCCACAGAGATGAAACATTACAGCAAGAGCAAGGACAGGGAAGAGGGGACAGCAGCACCAGCACATTTCAAAGAGACAGTGAGTGTCTACTCACACCAAGTTCGGCAACCATAGAGTTAACAAGTTGCTGTGCACAAACTCTCCTGGCAGCCTTCAGCAAGAGGCTCCAGGGAGAGCTACAGGGCAGTAGCCTGGCACTGGATTGTTGAGAACAACCCCTTCGCAGGGAGTAAACCCCAAAGGTCGAGCACTGGAGTGCTGCACTCTGCCATCCTCCACCTGGAGAAGCATGACCACTCAAAGTCAAGGCTGCACCCACAGCACAAGAGCCCCTCCCTGGCCAGCCTCCCTAGCCCCAGCCAATGAATGCAGCCTGGGGTTCCCATGGCAACCCAGACCCTGGGGTTCCCAGGGCAAAGGGGGACCCAGACATACCCTGGGGAGCTGTCCAGAGCACAGGAGAGGAGTGAGTCGCTGAACCGTCGTGTATCCCAGAGCTTCACCTCACGCTCCCGCATCTGCAAGGGCACAGAGACACACACATACACCACACGGTTAGAGCTACGCACATGTCCTCAGTGACTTGAGATCACCAGTGCAGCCAGCCTGCCACAACATGCATGCAAAGCCAGCCAGGGGCCTTCACTCTACGCATCAGTGCTGGGGATGCCACTGTGGCAACCAGGCAACCCTGCGAGGGGGCAGGCTCATGGGAACACAGCAGGCTAGCTCTGTGTGGGACAAGTGAGGAAAGATTTGGCCTTGGGACATGGCCTTGCGAGAGCAGAACACTTACAGGAGATGTTGCCCTGAACTGTGGGGTCTCCCTTCCCCTCAGGCTCATGCAGATGTGTGACAGACATGTGGCTTCCATGAGCAGAAACAGGGCTGTGTGCACTGGCCCTACATCCTGGACACAGTGACATGAAAGGGGGCAGCTTAGGCACACAGCAGCTGACACATAGCCAATGCCCACATACATACTCTTCCCCATAGAGGATGGAAGCTCAGCTGCAGGAGCTCACCTCTATAACACTGAGGACTGAGTTACCACAGCTTGGGCTTCACATACCATGAGAGAAGAGACTATGCACAGGCAGCAGTTGCAGAGGTCTGTCCCTGCCACCTCTGACCCCATGGTGAATGATTCACAACCTCTGCTACCTGGCCAGTACACAGCCCTGCCACAAGGACCCAAATTGTCCCCTTCTCCTGTGGCAAGTCCCCAGGAAGCCATGCCCTTGTTCATTCCAAAGAAGCCACTGAGGAAGGCAAAATTGCGAACGCGCAACCCTGGTGCACCCTGAGACAAATGCATGGTGAACCCAATGCTTGGGAGAGGTAGGAGGGGGCAGAGAGTCAGAGGCTTGAAGGCAGTCCCCCTCAAAGGAATATGCATATTCAGTTATACCTGGAATAAGCAGTGAAGGGACTGAGCAGCAGCAGGAAGTCATAGACCACCCCCAGAATAGGGAACCAGGGGCAGACTGTATTAACAACCATACTGCCTCCACTGCCTACAGGCAGCTCCTAAAAGGGGACCCCGTAGTGCACAAGAATCAGGTTTGAAGTGAGCAGATATTCAGATCCCAAAACTGCCCTGGGAGCTGCTGGGTCTCAGTGCAGCACTTGGGGGCATGGAGTTTGGGTCCCTCTGTCCTACAGGTGCCAAGGTTCAAGCCACCTCTTCCTAGACACTCCAGAGAGCAGCTGAGCCTGCTTTCCCCCCCCTACCCAGACTGCCAGGGTTGTCCTGGCCTCACTGCTCACTTGCACTGCATGGTTAAGGTTAGCTGTTCCAAATGGAATTTGTTGATTTCCCCAGCCCTGTCCTGCTGCCCCAGGGGACACCAATGTGAGACTACCCTATATGGACACATTTTGATCCCTGTGTGTACAGTGATGTGTCAGCATCTGTCACTCCCCAGGCATAGGCAGGCAGGAGCTCACAGGCACTGGCACACAGGCTACATGCAGTCATAGCCCAGCATGCAGTCCCATGGGCAAACCCTGCCTGGCCGACTGCAAGGGCATTTGCTCGGATGCAGGACAGAGTGCAGCTCCTGGAGACAGATGTGGTCACCTCCTCCTCACTCACTGCTCCCTCCTTCTATGCACCAAGGTCCTGTCTACACTAGTCTCTACCCCAGGAGCAGGCAAAATATGACCTGTGGGCCACATCCAGCCCACCAAGCCATTCTATCCATCCCATGGGGCCCCTAAAAAAATTAGTGAATTAATATTTATTTGCTCCTGTCTGCCTGTCAAAGCTGACAGGAGCCAGGGCATTAGGACCCAGGGGGAGCCCTCAGCAGAACTGAGCATCCCAGCCCTGCCCCACCCCCAACCATTTCACTCTTCCTGCCTCCATCTGGCTCCCAGCTCCATCACCAGACCAGGGAGCATGGGGCCCCACATGCATGTGCACAGGCAGGGACAGCACACGTGTGTGTACGTTTATAGGGTGAGTCCCATATCCACACCCCACCACACACATGTACCCACAACACCCATTGTGCTGCTATACATGCAGACCCCCACACCCATAACCCCTCATACACCCCAGCTACCCTCCCCCCATAGTCATCCCTCCACAAACCCCATACCCACCCACACCCCACAGCCCCCCACAAACCTATACCTACCCCACCCCCACATGATATACAAGAGTAAGACATCATTTTAAGCTATTGGGTAATCACCTCTGTGTACACTACACAAACACATCTAAATCAGGACAAAACTATTCTTGGAAATCAAATTAATGAATGCTGTAGATGTTTGATTTTTAGAATATAATTTGGTATTTTTCTGGTTCTGAGATGACAAAACCCCTTGCTGAAAGGAGTACTTCTGGGGGCAAGAGGAAGGACTTCAGGTGATAAAGGTCAGGGGTTAGGGGACAGGACTTCTAGTCACAAAATGGCAACTGGGGGTGGGGCACCTGTCGAGGACTGGGGCTACCCATGCAGCCCTCAACAGCTTGCCAAAATTCAGTAAGTGGCCCTCCACCTGAAATAAAAGCCCACCGCTATTCTACCCTGAGGTTTCCTACCCTAGTGCTGACAGCAGTGAGGCTCCCCTAATGGCAGATAGTGCGAGTGCTAATGTAGACATGCCAGAAGTATTGGGCACTACTGTTGAGCTTTGCTCAGAGCCCATCACCACAGAGGGCTGAGTTCAAACCCCTCCTTCTCCCCAGCTAAAGAGAGCTCTGGCAGCACCCTGCCATCACAAACAGTAATGCTGTCTGCTCTACATAGGCAATTCTGACACCAAGAGTGCTCTAATCAAAACTATGCTTGCTCTCACAGTGTACGAAGGGCTGTCTGCCTCACAAAGGCTCTTTACCAAATGGCCAGCTGCTCTTCGGATGGGATGGACAGATAGTGAGAGAAGCACTGGGGGGATTCTGCCACCCCCAAAGGTGCTGGAGAGGGGTGTCAGTCACTCCAGGTATGCACTAGCATGTCCTCTGCTGCATGCTGCACCCAAGCCCAAGTGTGACGTTATGAAAGCTGCTCATCATCCAACACCCATCAGGAACTGATGAACCGTGCACACTACCAGCACAGAGCCAGGCCACAATAGGACCATAGAGAGGTAATCCGCAGTAATGACCCTAAGTAAAGGCTCTGATAATGGACAATGGGCACCCTGATTTCCCATCACACGAGAATATGACTGGGCACTGTACCTGGTTGAATCCAACAGAAAGGAGGTAGTCGCTGGCATCCATCCAGATCAGCCTGGAATCCTTGTTGTTCTCATGTCCCTGCACACTCTGAAACACAGAGGATACAATGGTTACTACTGCTGCAGCAGGAGGGGTGTGTGCTCCACAGAGCTCATGTTTTGCAGGTGGCTTCCTCTAAAGAACAGCTACAAATGGCAGCAATGGTGCAGATTTTTTGTTCTGGGGACCAGCTCAAGACAACCGAATCAGGCTGCACTGCTACATCAGGGAAATCAACTGGCTAAATCTATGCCTCAGAAACACCCATGACCTCCAAGTCAGTAAACCATTCTGGGCATGATGTACAAAAAGCAAGAGACATCAACAGATTCCCCCCAAGATGGCAAGGCTGGCCGCAGAGGCCAACAGGAGGATAAGCACTAACAAGTAAGTGAGTCTGACTTTGATATGTGGGAGGCAGTTCCACTGTCACTTTTCCAGGAAGCAGTGTCTCAGCCCACGGCCAAAGTAAGGGAAAGATGAACTTAGTCAAATGCAATTATCACCATAACAGCAGCAGAGAAAATCGCAAGACATACAAGTGAGAAGTAAGGTAGGGAAAGCCCCATTTCTATAAGTACTGCTGTGTGCACCATCAACGCTATTTATGGGCTGGGAGATGGGGGTCTGGGAAGAGGAACATACAGGGAGGAAGCCGTTCCAAGCTGACAGTGAAGTCACACAGCTGTGCAGCCACCAGCAAGATTTGATCTGGCTAAAGCAGCTCTTCCCCAAAACAGCAGCCAGGTAGAGGAGCTTACTTCATTGAGACCCTTCAAATGGTCTCTTATTCCAAGCCAAACAAAAAGACCTCTACAGTCATGCAGCAGCAACATGCAAGGGCAGAAGATGCCAAAACACCACAAGCCCCAAGAAGGGAGATCTGAGCATAGGACAGTTAGGGATCCCCAAGTTTCAGTCTGGACTTGCTGTAGGTTAGAGTAAATCCTTTGTCCCCTCTGCCCATTTTTCCATCTCATAAATGATGCTGTTCCCTGGGTTCTAGCCATGCTGAGGGTTAGCACTTGCACAATGATTTCATAATGAAAAGCTCATTTGAAAAAGCCTGATTCTGCTCTGAAAAGTAAGTAAAAGCACCCTCACCCACACTCAGCTTGTGCTCTGAGATGCATTTGCTGACTGAGATGCATTGTTTCAGCTCTTTCTCCCTGCAAACTTGGCTCTGGGGAAGGGATGTGAAGCCTCCACCCTTCTGGTCTGGCACAGTCATCTACTGAGCCCCATAACATGACAGGTGAATGGACTCATAGATACCAGAAGCCTAATTTGTTCTTCAGACTCCCTTACTGGGAGTAGCAGGCAAGGAAGAAGGGTCCCCACATGATTCCCTAGGCTAGGCTGAGCTTGCTGTGACTGCAGGTAGAAATACATCATCTCTTGTTTGCAATACACTGAGCACATCCGATACAGAAGCACTAAGAAAGTCCCGGCTGCTATTCTCCAATGTCGCTTTCTAGAGGAAGGGCAAAGGATTAGCTATAATTAACTAGCTAGCTTCTGGCTGGCTGCCATGCGTCAGATGGTCCCCAGATGGGTCCTGTGGTTATCAGCATCCCAAAGGAGCCCATCATCTGGTGCCTGCCCCTGTTACGCACGAGAGGACAGAACCACCACCTCCCTCTCATTTGTAAAGTTTCCATTTAAAAAAAAGCCAATGCACTAATGTTTTAGACGTGTCACAGAACAGCAGAGGCCTCTGTCAGAGCTAAACAGCGAAGGGCACTTTACATATGCCAGAGTTCAGAAGAGCTCAGCCCAGCTGTGCTTGCTCCCTGGGAGCCCCCATTAGTAATTACCTCAAGAGCCTGATGGGCAGACCCTTGTTACTGCAAATGGCCAGAAAGCATATGCTGCAAACCAGAGGCTGCCCAGTGCTACCAGCTAGCAGGCATGCTGGGCCTGTCAGCTCTCAAAAGCAGCTTGCATCAGGCTGAAAATGCAGCCAGAACAGGGTGTGCAATTCACCTGTAAGTGCTCCTACACAGAGCCCCTGCCTGAGCACAATGCCCTACTGCACAGGCTGCTACTTGGTGATGCCATGGATGCAGCTCAGAACAGAGGTCACCACTGTCTGTGCTCAGAAGAGACACCAAACCAACTCTTTCTGCAGACGGAGAGGTGCTAATGGTCCGACCCTGGAGAAATTCCTATATGGGAAGTGAACGCAGTCACCCCAAAGGCCTCCAAGATTCCAGAGGGACACAGAGCCCACCTGGTGCTATCTGTGTTGAGAAATAGCATCTTTTGGGTAGACAGGGCTTTCTCAGCACAGCCAACACCAAGGCAGCTCCCACGGACAACTCAGCAGCAGGAAACTTACACCAGGCCAAACCAGCCTGTCCCCAGCACAGTGACTTCTTATGCGGCTAGATGTGCATACAGCAGTAACACAGGGCACCCAAGGATGCTAACACCAGTGAGAAATGTAGACATGTCCTACGCACAGACGCAGTGAGGCAACACTCATGCAGGGAATCGGCATGAGCAAGGATGGAGCACTGGCAGCCAGCTTGCTGTGCCTGGGCAGCCTCATTTCTTTCAGCAGCTGCCTCTGTCCCATCAGTGGGAAACTGGTGATACCAGCTGTGGACTCAGCTCAAAGGGATGGCAAGGCGGAGCTTTTACTCTGTTCTTTTTGTCCCAAAGGGACTTTTTAAGAGAGATCATTGCTAAAAGGGAACAAAGAGCCTGAACATGCAGCATAAAGTCTCTGGTAAAGCACAAAACTGGACAGCTCCACGGCTTCATCCCACCACTACCCCAATGTGGGAAAGCACCGTTCCAGACCAGCAACTCTGCACAGCCCTGCCATTAGGGCTTGAATACATGGAGTACTGTCCCCCTAGTGCAAAAAGGCCCCTGCTGGCTTTTGAATGTCACAATGGGCCATCCATGCCAGCCTCCAATGGCCTCACCATGCAGGGTACCACATGCCAATGCTGCAGCATCATAGGAAAGTGCAGCCGCCAGCACTCAGAGAAGGGAGAGAGCACTGAGCATGGAAACCCTGCAAATCCACAGGTTGGAAGATGAGGCCATGCTGGCCAGGGAAAGCCAGAGTACTGCTCCATTCTGAGCCCAAAAGGCTGTTTAGTAGCAGTTTAAACAGGCTTAGAGCAAATGGGCCTGCAGCACCCCCACTCAGCAGCACGGCCAGGACAGGGACAGGAGAAACTCAGACCTGTCTGGGACTGTCCTAGACACTTACTGAATAAAATGCATCTCACATTGCACTGGTCATGGGGACTAGCCCACTCCACTGCAGGCAGTGTCAGAGCCCCCTTCATCAACTGACCAAAGGCCATCTCATAAGAAGGTATATTTTGTGCCCACTGCTGCCAGAAGATGGCTGCGCCAGAGCCTGCAGAACTGCACAGAACTCTGCCCAAGCCAGCCATGGTGGCATTGCCTGGGGGCTTGCAGAGAGAAGCAACTGTGTTACCATGAGAATCGCCCCATCAATCTTCCCAAACAAGGCACAATAATCAATGGTTGGAGTTGGCTCTCACTACTGATGCTGCCAGCCCAAGCCCCAAGTCCTGTGACCCACCTAGTCACATCTGCTTAGCAAAGCTGAATGTTTCCATCCCAAACACAGCTTTTTCTTCTGACAGGGGGGCTCCAGCTTCAATATAGTGCTACCACTTGTGAAGACAGCTGAAACATAGGTAGCCCATGCTAGTTCATTTGCTGTTGCTGTGCAGGATCCATAGTGGTAGCTCTCAGCCTGGGGGTGCACATCCAATCTGCTCCAATCATTTTTTAGAATTGCTGTAAACCAGGGCTTGGCAATATCTTGGAGGGGGGGAGCACTTTAACACAGACTGATTCTAAATCAATTTTGCTAAATAGGTACTTTGCGTCAGTTTTTCACCAGTCCCGTGGGACGGCCCTGCCCACTATGGGTCAGGGAGGCCCGGGTGGGGGAGATTCCTTGCCCTCCATTGAAGCTGACCTCGTGAAGGAACACCTTGACAGGCTGGATACCTTCAAGTCAGCCAGCCCTGATGGGTTACACCCCAGGGTACTCAGGGAGCTGGCGAGCATCATAGCTCAGCCCCTGGCATGGATCTTTGAGAGCTCTTGGCGCTCTGGTGAAATGCCCGATGATTGGAAGAGTGCCAATGTGGTGCCCATCTTCAAGGAAATGAGGAAAGTAGATCCAGCAAACTACAGGCCCATCAACCTGACCTCTATCCTGGGGAAGGTCTTGGAAAAGATTATCAAAGAGGCCATCCTTAACAGACTAGCTGAAGGCAATATCCTGAGGGATACCCAGCATGGGTTTGTTACGGGTAGGTCTTGCTTGACCTATCTCATTTCCTTTTACGACCAGATGACTTATCACCTGGACAAGGGGGAAGAGACCAACATTGTATATCTTGACTTTAAAAAAAGCCTTCGATCTGCTATCCCACAATCACCTCTTGGCTAAACTGACTAACTGTGGCCTCGACCTCACCACCATCCGCTGGCTGGGGAATTGGCTCCGCGGTAGGACCCAGAGGATGGTAGTCGACAGGAGTCAGTCATCGTGGTGTGCTGTGACCAGTGGGGTCCCACAAGGCTCTGTCCTAGGGCCTATACTATTTAACATCTTCATCAATGATGTGGACATTGGTGTCAGAAGCAGACTGGCCAAGTTTGCCAATGACACCAAACTCTGGGGTAAAGCATCCGCACCTGAGGACAGGAGGGTGATCCAGGCAGATCTTGACAGGCTCAGGAAATGGGCGGACGAGAACCTGATGGTGTTCAACACCGAAAAATGCAAGTGTGATGGTTGGGGCCTGACGTGTTGAGTGGCCTGCCCTCCTGTAGGGGGCTCAAAAGTTTCTCCTGCGTGGCCTGTGGGAGCCGTGCAGGCTGCGCCGCTCCTTTTCCTCACTGGAGCCTCAGCACATCTAGCGTGCTGTCCACCAGCACTCTCTCTCCCCAGCTCCTCCTCCGCCCTGGTGCCGGTGGGGCTTTTCAACTTTCCCATGGTGGCCGGTACAGCCGCCGCGATTGGTCCAGCTGTTCCCCAC